ACTATTCCCAATTAAAAAGAAAATTGCGCGCCAAAACTTAACCGTCAGAAAGTGTCAAAATGGCTTAAGGTGCAAGTTTTTACTAGTTTTGCGTTCAATAACTTTTTCTGAAAATTTTCTCTTGCTCTCAATTTTACTCTCTATTTTTTTTACGCTCTCGCTGCAAGTACTTACTGGAAAAGTTATTGAATGGCTCTAATATTTCAGTATTTTTTGTGTTCATTACATTTTCAATGAAGTCTTAAAAAAGTCGCCTACTTTTTTCTGACTTTTTTGCTGCACAGCTTTGATGCTTTTGCGAGCGTGCATGCTGCAATAGATCGGCTCTTCCTGAATTGGCTTTTAATGTGCAATTGCAAACATTACAGCAAGCCTCGTAACCTCAAGTGTTTACACAACCAGCCTTTGAACACGGGATCCTTAGTCTAAGGCTTTCTGCACATTGGTCGTCCAATCATAGTTACTTCATCGTCACAATCATGATGCAACGATTACATGACGACTACACTTTCGCACACTCGGTCGTGAAATTTCAATTCATTTGGCGTCTAAAAATTCACTTGGAGCTGGTATTTCCTGTTTTTCTGGTTGATATTTTCGCGAAATATTTACAAAAACCTGTAATTTTTAAAATATAGACTGTGCTGCAACAAATCTAGACATCATTTTTCAATAATATCTCTTCTGTTCTTTTCCTGAAATGTGTTTTGTGCATGCACACAGAGACTTTTTACAATTTCGTTTTATTGTATAGGTTAAACGCTCACATTTATTTAAATTTTAATGCAATTATCCACTTTTTAATAATTTCCACAGATTTTATGCAAAAATACTAATTTTTATGCAAGTATTCACTTTTTCACTAATTTTTCCCCATAAAATGTAAACAAACAATGCGTGCACAACGATTAGCAAACGACAGTGCCATACTTATCCGTTTCTGCATCTTCTACGATTTGCCGATAACTAGCCGATAACGACAAGTGTGCAGATCTCCTTTGAAATGCATGTGCTCGGATCAAAATTTCAGGGCGAGACGATAACGCAACTATGATTGGACGACAAGTGTGCCGATAGCCTAAGAATCCAGAAAAAATCTTTTGAAGCAGCTGCAGCAAAACACAAAGATTGTAAAGATTTATTAAGAAAAGAATTCAAAATCAGTTCCACTTATAAGATTTAGTAACAAAGAAAAATTACTGGGAAGTTAAAAATCGTCATTTTTTACACAAAAAACGTCAACAGGGTACAAAAAACCTCCAAATGACGTTAAAAACGTCAACCTGGCAACCATGCTCCGTACCGTCAATTCGTTTCAAGTTTTCTTGTCTCTTTTGATATTTTCGTTGCTTCCCATTTAAAGAACCAAGGACTTGAATTCAATTAAAGTTGACGCGTGTGGAAGCAAATAGAAAACACAAAAGAGAATGCGAAAAAATTGCTCTTAAGACTTGACGTGTCTGAAAGGGGACATAGTGATGCTGCGATCCGATTCGAACAAACGCTTAGTCGAATCGAATAATCATTTTTGTATTTAATTTGGTCTAACACTACCTTTCCGATGCAGAGAGAATTATCGAAATCGGTTCACGTGGTCCCGAGTTATGCGGTAACATACATTAAAAGAATAAATAATAATCCGACGAACTGATAACCTCTTCCTTTTTTGGAAGTCGGTTAAAAAATTATTGTCCTTACCCGTCTAAAAAACATATGTACATCAGGGTGGTCCAAAAAAATGTAAAACTTTAAGCTCTCACACCCTAGGATTTTCCTAAATCGAAAAATTACCCATATTTTTTTGTTTTTCCAAACAAATTATAGTGACTCAAACAATATGTTTTTGGAGCTAAATTTCTATAAAAATATTGCCGAAGTTTTACCCAAAACCATATAATTGAAATCACAGTTTCAAACTTTATACAAAATTTAGGAAAGTTCAAGAATCTTTAGAACATTTTTGGTATGCAATTATATAGTCCATATAATTTTAGTCTGATGATATGCAGGTTTCAACCAGCTGAAAAATTATGTTGATTTTTAATAATTTTTACTACCCAACTATACCCAACAAAGTGCAATGGGGAGACCCATAAAAAATAGTTAATATCTATGCATTAAAAAATTATTAAATATGCATTTTGGTATTACTCTTTCAAGTCCCCTGAAAACAAGCAGTGTTTACCTATTGAAAAATATTGATTTTCAAGTATTCTATACCAGTTCTACGAAAAAGATTTTTTTTCGCCATATAAAATATATGGAAAACTTCATGGCAAACCAGCTCTAAATTTCATTTAGGAAAAAATAAGAGTACTTTCTTCGATTTAGAAAAATACTATGAGGTGAGTGCTAAACATTTTAAATTTTTTCCCATGTAATCTTTGACCACCCTAATCTACTACAAGCTGCTTATGTACATACAAGTAGATTTAAATAAATTCTACATTAGACCGTATCGCAAAAAAAGTTCAATTTGTTTCAAGCTATTTATGTTGAACACCTACGAAGGCGAATTCAAACAAGATGTAGCCAGAACAGCTTAACCGTTTTCGAGATATTTAGCCCAATGATTCCGGCCTTTTGCGTCCAAATGGGACCCGTGTAACCCGTGTATACATTTTCTCTGCCAAAATGCTAATTTTACCCACTTTCAACTGGTTGCCAAGGGTTCTGTGGCCGGGTTCAACGGGCCCAGTATGCCTTTTTACAAAGTTTGAACTGTGCTCTTTCTAGTGGGTTGGTTAGCAAGAGCCACGCCTCCTCCCCCTCCGCCCACTAACTCAAAAACAGTGGGCAAATAACTAAGCATTTCCCTCAACTTTTTTCGGCACATATGTACATCGCGACACGGTCTAATAATACACACAAGCATATGTTTACTTACATTTATGTAACCCTTATACAGGGTTGCCACTGACGAAAAAAAAAACTTACCATCCACGTGAAAAAAATCTACCAATTGTAGAAAATATCTACCAAAATTTTTTTTTTAGTTTTTTTAATGAAAACTATAGTTTTGTTATTTTTTCAGTTAATTCAATAAGACTTCAAATTGTGTTTAAGGTACTCTTTATTTAAGAGATCATATTATTAGCATCTTCTCAGTTTCCTTCAACCAAAAGCGAAAGTAATGAAACTAAAAGCAACAACGAAACTTCATCATTTTAAAAAACTTCAACTGGAGTTATTATATATAAATACAGTTACTCAAAAAACGCTTGATAATTTTTTTTAATATTCACAATTTTTTTCAAGCCAAACTTTTTTGGTATTACTTTATAAGAATATTGTTTGCGCTTTACCCAAACATTTAAAATCAAGGATTCAAGCTAAATACAACGTTTAGAAAAATTCAATAAATTTCCGTCTAAATTTCGAACTTTTTACTCTGAATTTTTAGAACAATTTAATGTATGGAGTTTTACAGCCCATAATACTTCAGACTAATCAACAATGTGCATCTAAAAATTCCCGTTGGTAGTTTTAATTTTTTGTTTGTTTTTATTTTGTGTTTTTTTTTTTCATTTAACAATTGCCATTGATGAAAATATGCGTTGATTTAATATTTTTCGAAGGGTCGAAGTGGGTAATTACATACTTGTCCGTTCTTTATATACATTTATTCGTATGTATATAAAAAGTGTGCATTAAAATGTTCGAAAATTAATGCAATAAAGTAGACTGCACTTTTGGAAAGAAATTTGTAATAAAAAGATAACTACGAAAAATAAAACGGGAACGAAAAGTTTTATTGTTTTTTTTTTCAAACTAAATAATTCAACAAAAATCTACCTAAATGAGAAAAAATTTACCTTTTTACCAACCCAAATTTTTTCTACCAATTTTGGTAACAATTTACGAAAGTGGCAACCCTGCCCTTATGGTACTCACTGACTTACATATGTATGTACATACATAGTATTCACCGACCCCCACCCTGCTAGTATTTTCTAATAAGCAGCTCTATATAAAAACATGTGTACATATATTCTGTTGCTCGCACTCCAATTGGAACTTGTCCGTATTGCGTATTTGCGTCCACATGGAAGCGCAATGCGCTATGTTGTTGTGTAATCACAAGCTAGCGAAGCCACACGGCAAGTGTTCAATGTGCACGGATGGACGGACGGAAAATATGGACAATATACATATGTACAGACATACATATCGCATGAATAGACAGTAAAATTGTTTAGTAAGTTTTATTTTCAAAAGAAAATTAGATTTTCACTTACCACTAAAATAGAACGCCGTCTTTCTTAACTTTATCGTCAGATTTATTAAAACACATTAAAATTATGTACATATGTAGTTCTTTTCACTTTTTCTCTGTGCAAGTTTTTTGTTACACTAAAACGCTGCACAATTAAAAGTATATTTTGTCAATTATCTCACAATTGTGAATTTATTTTGCTGCATTTTTTCCATTACACTCACTTAGAAAATAGTTCGCTATCTTTTCCACGAGGTTCAGAAAATTTTTAATTTTGTCTATATTGCGTGCCGCTCTGCTACTGCTCGAGTATACATCTGATGACAACGACACGACGCGTTTTAGCTTTTTAGCGCCGAATGTCGGACTCGTGGAGGCAAACAAAACAAAAAGAACAATGTCAGAAACGCCAATTACCCAACGCTGCCGACGTTGCAGTGGGCAGCAAACGGCTGCATTGAAGACGAACAAAATACTAATGTATGTATGTAAGGTGTGATGTAAAATATAGTAAATAATTAACAGCGTAAAACAACAATGTTAAAATGAAGTTCCCTTTGGCATTACAATAATCAAATAGAACAGCAACACCGTACCATCTGCTGCGGCGGCGGCAGCGTCGTCGTCGGCACCTGCTTTCTTGACATCGCCAGTTTTCTGTTTACTTTTTTACCGCAGTAGGAGAGCACGTCGATTTTTACTGGGAGCGTCGAACGTAAACAAATAAAAATAGCAACAAAAGTGAGAGAACGAAAAATGCCATAACAAAAGCGTTGAGGTGTGTTCAAAAGCATTTGTTTACGTCGGTGCAGTGGGCTGTTCAGTCAATGCCATTTCCGTCATAATGCGAAGAAAACATGTGACTGCTGTGATGGAGGGATGCAGGGATGCACTGTATTTAGACATAGTAGAAACTTTATTTTAATCTAGAAGGTAAAGCTAAATATAATGGAAGTAACGGAACCAAGGCGAATTTATCCAAGGTGGTGTTGTCCAATCTGCTGATTTCTTCTACCTTTCTTCGTGTTACATGTATTTTGTTTTTGCTTTTACTGATTTGACACATGAACCAAAAATACAAGATCACGTAAGAACGCGACGTTGTATTTGTAACTGGTTTTGAGAAAAAAGTTTGCGAAAGCGGGTTCGTCAGCTGAGCGTTTGTTTACATCACAAGCACCACTATTTTACACTTTTATTCAAGTAAAGAAGAGTTAATTCAACATGACAACACATTTTAAAGCATTTTGTTGCATCATTTTACCTAAATTGTGCGTTTAAAGTGGCTGACAATAATTTTGGCTAATTTGGTTTTCGTTAGCGTTCTTTGCTTTGTTTACTTTTCGCTCGTTTTCCAGTGAAACAGGATAAAAAAATCGACTTTTTTCACTCTCTTGTTCTTACGTGATCTTGTGTCTTTCGTTCATGGATTTGACAGCATGCTCAAGAATAGCAAAAACAAAATAAACAAAAATTTACATGTATTTTGTTTTTGCTTTGGCGGCATAAACTGTCAAAATCTGTAACAGTGTGTGTAGAAATTCAAACAAAATTTTTTAATTTGATATCGAAGCCGTGCGGCGAAACACATACACAAAATCAATCGGTCAATTATCTATTGTATTTGAAATGAATGCAAATGATCAAGGCGAATTTATACAAGGTGGTGTAGATGGCGAATTCATATTACAACAAACACATCAATTTGACATTAATAAGTACGTGGCGAAAATCTAAATTCGCCATCAACACCAGCAAGGCGAATTTATACAAGGTGGTGTTGATGGCGAATTAAATTTTTGCCGCGGTACTACTGAATGTCAAAATGACGTGTTTGTTGTAAACAAGGCGAATTCATTTTACAACAAACACATCATTTTGAAATTAATAAGTACCGCGGCGAAAAACTAAATTCGCCATCAACACCAGTTTGTATAAATTCGCCTTGATTTTGACATTAAGTAACGCGGCGGAATTCTCATACCTTGGTTATAATGCACGGGGCGAATCGTAACTAATCGCGGCGAATTCGTAAGGATCTATTGATTTTAGATGCTTCCGTTTTACGTTACGTTCAAGGGCATTATAATCGTTCGAATTCATTGCCCATACAATAGATAATTAAGCGACAGTTCACTGCGTTCCGTTACTTCCATTATAATCCAGGCATAAATTCGCTAGTAACACCACCTTGTATAAATACGCCTCGACTCCCGCAATACAAAATACGAGAGCAAAAACGAAGTACTGCACTTCCGAAAGAATTTCGGTTGGGCACATTATTCGTGCTACATATCGCTACACTTGACCCTCAAAATATGCCACTTTCTTTTAGTATACTACGTAAAAGCTTACGACAGACGGCAGCGTGCAGTTAATTCACTGACCGAAATCGTCATTTGAAGCCACCGGTTTTTTCGCCATGCACAAGGTCTATTAGCTTTTCCTCTAGCAACTTCCCTTGAGAAAATAAAGCTAGTCAAATTATCAGTTGAACTAAAGTTGGCACCGACCAACTTTAAGTCATGAGTTGAAAGGCCATTTACATCAATAAACTATCGCAGACAGGAATTTTTTGTGAACCGAATGAATTATGCGAAGCGAACTAACAGGCAAAGAATGCATTAAGTGCTCCAGATGCAAGGAACTTGCACAAGGTGGTATATGCGAACACTCATTAATGCACTCTAATTAAAACCTAGCTGGTTCACAGAATTAGAAAATATGCTATAACTAATAATCTTGTAATTTTCCCACAAAATCAATTTGTGCTAAATTTATTTTCATTTCATTTTTTCAAATTAAAGTTAAAAATATTACAAAAGAGCTATGTTTACTCGGCATCCTCATCTTCGTCATCGTTGGAGCTGATTCTGAAGTATCGGAGTTCATACGAGTCCTTATCGTTAGACACGACACGGATCCAATCACGCAGACTGTTCTTCTTCAAGTAACGCTTGGTCAAGTACTTGAGGTAAGCCTTGGAGAAGTGCACGTCCGAGTTTACGTACAACTTCATCTTCAAACGCTCAAATGTTACATTGTTGCCAAGGTTGTTCACTTTGCCATTGACCTTTAGGCGGGCCTTAACGTACTTTTCCTGAAGATTACAAAGGCAAAATTAGAAAGTTTCCAATACAATAGAAAAAACCAAAATATTCAAAATTAGATTGTCTCTTGCAGTGTTAAGCCACAAAACCATGCGAGTCATTTTGCGACCAAAAATAGCAGAGTGTAAATGTTTACTTTGCCACTGAGTACACTGCCTTCAGAGCGACGGCCTCGAAGCTCACTCTCTGACGACAAATCGGACGTGGCACTCTCTAGACCAAAAACTCTTAAAGCAAATTTTTGTAAATTTAAACTACATATTTACCTTGATACACCTTGCGTGCAGTAGTGGGCGTGTTCGTTTGCCATTATTATACGCTGCTGCTACGATTTAGCTTCTTGCATCAGAAAACAATAGCGATCCGCTGAGAAGCCTGCAACGTACGAAAATTCGACACGAATACGCAAGGCGCACTATGGGTTTTGGCCTGTGCACATGCGGGTGCATGCACGACAGCCCGGGACCCACCACAGGGCGGTAGACATAGTACGACTTGGCACTGTTCACAGACGGTTGCACCACTGGCCAGACCAGGTTCTGGCGATCAGAGGCTACCCCGTTGTGCAGCACCCAGAGTCCCGTCTCGAACAGCAACCCCCAACTAAGTTGGGGCTATATGGATCTGACATAGGAGCGGTTCGTGCAGAACCTATTTGAGCAAAGAACTAAATAGTAACAGTAGGTCATCAGTGTATCCATAATTGTTAGGCCAATGGGACCGGCTACTTGCCGGATTCACAATGGCTTAATCCTTATGGAAGTCACTCTTACGATTAATAATTTCCCTGCGCACGAACGTACGCCCATACTTCTTAATATGCATTATAAAAGATTTTTTAGTACAAAGTCTATTTACCCCAATTGGAGCCACTTGCTCTGGACGTTCGCAATGTGTGTACTTACGAAATCGGCAACATCCATGATGTTATCCTCAGCAATATTGGTGCAGTCGATGCCAAAACGGATTGACACCTTCTTCTTTTTCAGCCCCTTGCCACGCAACACGTTCTTCTTGCCCACTTTACCAGAGGCAGTGGCAGCTGTCACTGATTTGCGTTGTGGCTTGGAGGCAGCCTTGGCAGCAGGCGCTTTAGGCTTTTCAGCTGGAGCAGCAGCAGGGGCAGCAGGCTTAGCTGGTTCGGCTTTCTTGGCGGGTGCAGCAGCTGCTGGCTTAGCAGCAGCAGGTGCAGCCTTCTTAGCATCCTTGGCAGGGGCAGCTTTAGCATCCTTCTTTGGCGCGGCAGCCGCTGGTGCAGACTTCTTGGCATCCTTGGCAGGTGCTGGCTTAGCAGCAGCTGGCTTGGCTGTGGCCTTCACTTCCTTGGCGGCTTCAGGAGCCTTCTTCACATTTTTGGCGGCTGCTGTTGCGGGCTTAGCTTCGGCTTTTGGCTTTTCAACTTTGCCTTTGGCTGCGGCAGCAGCGGCAGGTGCTGCCTTCTTTTCGGCCGGTTTGGCGGCGGATTTATCACCTTTGTTAGTTTTAGCCTGAGGACATTAATAAACAAAAATTATTACATGTGAAATGAAGGTATAATAGTAAACACTCAGAAAATGTACTAGTAACAGAATTTTTATCGTGCAATATTTTCGGCATCCGGTAAATTACTCTTCCAAACTTTTCATTAGTTGGTTGAAGAGCCTACTAACTACCCTATATTTTACTTATTTCACGTTTTTATTCGCGATTGTACTTAAATTCTAAGATTTTTAGGAGCACTTACAGTCGGTGCCATCTTCAACAGCAGGAACCACGGAGAAAAAGAACTGGAAGAGCTGTTGTCAAAACCAGCGTTGCCAACGTTGCTTTATGAAATTCCCTGTATATTTGACGTCCGAAATAATTTCCCACAGGGTCGCATAAGTATATGGATTTATTGGAACTGCAGAACTGCAGATAATTAATAGGTTTGTATAGTAACTTCTCCAGTAAACATTGCAGCGAGAGCGTAAAGGCAAAATAGAGCGTAAAATTGAGAAGCGAAAACTAGCAGAAAAAGTTAATGAACACAAAACTAGCTAAAACTTGCAAGTGAATAGTTGTTGCACTTTCTTGACATTCTGCTGTAAACATTTTACTATTTATAAATCAGCTTTAAACTCTTTGCTTTACACACAAGTATCATGAATATGTTGATTTCCACTCATTTTACTTATATTTATGCTAAACCAATTCAACAAACGGCGGCTTTTGACATTTATTCTTCTTCTTCTTCTGCTAGCTAATTTCTGCTAGTAAAATTTTCACTAGCAAGGATTTGCAGCCCTCCCGTGTTGTTACGCTCTCGATTCAGTGCTCTCTTGCAAATATTTTGGGTTATCATACACTTTTCCAGTAAAAATTTGCAGGTTCCAGTACAAATTAGTACTGACTATTAGTTATTTGGGGTATTCACAACGGTGTCGTAAGTGTCGTATTGTTGTGTGTCGTCAACTTTAAACGCAAAAAAAATATATATGGGAGTTCGCAAGGTACCATCAATGNGGTTCCAGTACAAATTAGTACTGACTATTAGTTATTTGGGGTATTCACAACGGTGTCGTAAGTGTCGTATTGTTGTGTGTCGTCAACTTTAAACGCAAAAAAAATATATATGGGAGTTCGCTCTTTNACGTTCCTGATGATATGTTGGCGTATATTTCAAACGCATTCGGTTTATTCTGGCTGTGAAATGAGATTATCCGGAATGTATAAAGAAACGCAGCCATTATGAATTTTGGCAGTGCTAAAAAATAGTTGGTTGTTGTTTCAGGTTTTCTAAACATTTATTTAAGCTTTTAAAGTTTAGAGAGCAATGTCAAATTCAATCACACTTTGTTGAATACATTTTGGTCGTGTTCTTTTCTCAGCAGGTTGCGCTCTGATCCGACGAAAGTGCTGCCTTTTCTGCCCTCAAATACGTGAGGGTGAGAGTTGCATGGTTGATTTTTAATTTAATCTTGTAAAAATGCAATTATTTTCCATATCAGAAATAAGTGTTTTGCTTTAAAACTGTTAGACTTACAGGCCAAGTGAATAATTCAGCTTTATGAAGTTCTATAAATAAATTTTGATGGAGTGGTATATTTTCTGTTTCATTCTCATATAAAGAACGTTTTTCCNTGAAGAATGTTTGACAAGCCGCTTGTGTGGTGTATTTCGCTCTTAACAGGCCAAGTGAATAATTCAGCTTTATTAAGCTCTATAAATAAATTTTGATGGAGTGGTATATTTTCTGTTTCATTCTCATATAAAGAACGCAACATTTTTCAGATTTCAGGGCAACGCAAACCAAGAGTTCCCATATAAAAGGGCAGAACTTTTGTTGAAAAAAGAAAACACTATAAGTTTCGAAAAAAAATACTTGTACAAATAAAATAGGTGGGCCATCATATCACCAAGGTGGCAGCATAGTGACATTGGGAATTTTAGCTTATCGGCAAACAGCTGTTTTAAGATACAACAAAAATGTAAATAAAAAAATTTATTTTCTCATGCACAAATGACAAATTCCGTTGGCAAAGGATGGGCTTCTGGCCTAATATCGACGATAAAAGATCCTAAAAACCACATTATCTCCTCTAAGGACGCTGTAGTGATACATGACAAATACCCAAAGGCGCGCCATCATTACCTCGTACTGCCCAAAGCAGATATACCGGATATATTCCATGTAAGCTCACCTAAAACAAAAATCTCTAGCTAGTTGGTTTTCAGTTAAGTTTCAGTTAAATCTTAGCCATTTACCTCTATTGGAAGAGCTGCACTTGCTCGCACAAAATGTTATTGAAGTGAAAAGCTTTCAGCTGGACGATTTTAAGATCGGTTTTCACGCGCAGCCCAGCATGCAACGATTACACTTGCATGTAATTTCCAAGGATTTCGTATCCGACTGTCTCAAAACAAAGAAACACTGGGTTAGTTTTAATACAGAACTCTTTCTACAATATCAAGGTGAGTGAAGACACAAACTTCAATATTTGGAATATTTGGAAACTAATCCCATGTTTAGAAGCCTATGCGCGGCTAAAAACAGATGCTTGTATCAAACGTTTGACGAAGGAACAAATTCAAGAGTTGACTGCCTCAGCGCTGGAATGCAATCAATGCGAGTTTGAAGCCAAAAATATGCCAGACCTGAAGCGACACCTGCTTGAGCATTGGGCACAGAGACAGTGAGATACATTTTTGCCATGACGTGTTAACGCTTCTGCATTGATTTAGTCTAGAGTTCCCAGATTTTTTATGCGCGGAACCTGTAGCTCACATTACGTTCCAATTGGCCCCATTTCACTTGTTTAATAAACAAGTAATTTTTAGGCGAAAAACACAACCGACTTCAATTCTCTTGTATAAATTTAGGAGTACCGTTTTCTCATGGTCCAATGATCGGATCTAAACCAAATTAGTACGAGAACACCTGTGAGACACTACCTTTCCGACAGAAAGAAAATATCGAAATCGTCGACGTGGTCCAAAGTTATGCGGAAACATACATAAATAAAAATAAAAATAAAATATTCGTACGAAAATTTCGAAAATATTCGTTCTTTTTTTTGAAGTCGGTTAAAAAGAGCTTTTCGTAAAGCAATCGTCCACATTGAACGTTTGAAAATAATTTAACTCGTCAATTTGAAAATGGTATTATTCTATTCGAACGCCTAACTGTAGGTCCATTGAATATCATAAAATTCAAGGCGCATCCATATATGTATGTATATACCTTTTTTATACCAACACATAAAGCGCTTGGACCCAGTTCGCTGTGATTCAAAACGGAAGCATAAACCAACTTTCAATACGCTCAGAAATTCAAAAGTGTTATGACTCGAATTTGTTTTCAAATCGTTTTTTTATTTCTNGGAAAACAGGTATAAACACATCACTCATTTGACGCGAAGTGAAAAAAGGCTGGTGTTCTTTATACAGCCCGTTTTAAATTTGAATTATTATTACAAGGAATTTGAATTGTTCGCTTTATACATGTTTTGAATCGCGGCGAAATGAATTAAAGCGACTTATGCATGCGTATAAACGTAGTATAAAATAAATAATAAGTAGTATAAAATAAAATATGTATGTATACCATTTTACCCGATTCCCCGAAACAAGACAAATTCCCCACAATTCGGGGAATTCCCCGCAAGTTGACATCGCTGAGGCGTTCAGCAATAGGTGAATTGTGTAGCTGAAAGCCTGAAAAGCTTGTTGTGGAGTTGTACTATAGCGATATAAAAGAAAAAAAAATGACAAATTCCGTTGGCAACGGATGGGCTGCCGCCCTAATAACGGAAATAAAGGATCCCAAAAACTACATTATCTCATCCGAGAACGCTGTAGTGATATATGACAAATACCCAAAGGCGCGCCATCATTACCTCGTACTGCCCAAAGCAGATATACCGGATGTATTCCATGTAAGTTCACCTGAAACAAAAATTTCGAAGTAATTTATTTTGAGTTAATTTTCAGTTAAATGTGGGCCATTTATCCATACTGGAAGAGATGCATTTCCTCGCACAAAATGTTATCGAAGGGAAAAGCTTTCAGCTGGACGATTTTAAGATCGGTTTTCACGCGCATCCCAGCATGCAACGATTACACTTGCATGTAATTTCCAAGGATTTCGTATCCGACTGTCTCAAAAAAAAGAGACACTGGGTTAATTTTAATACTGAAATCTTTCTACAATATCAAGGTGAGTGAAGACACAAACATATGTATGTATATCCATATTTGGAAACTAATCCTCTGTTTAGAAGTCTATGCGCGGCTAAAAACAGATGCTTGTATTAAACGTTTCACAAAGGAAAAGATTGAAGAGTTGACTGCCTCCACGCTGGAATGCAATCAATGCGAATTTGGGGCCAAAAATTTACCAGACCTGAAGCGTCATCTGCTCGAGCATTGGGCACGGAGGCAGTCAGATAAATTTTTTTGATGGGATAACTCTTCTGTAATGATTGGATCAAAATAACCCAATTTTCAAGAAAAAATGCTTTTTATATCCAGTTAAGTAATTTTAATCAAGTTTTGTCTTAATTTATTCGATAAAATCATCAACCATACCCATTTGTAAATCAAACCCGAATGATTGTCATTAGAATAGAAATCAACACAACATGGAACTCTCGTATACCTATCTGAGAAACATACTATGGACCAAGTGGAAAATATTTAGGGCTATCACTGAATCCGAATAGCTACGAATTTAGCATATGTTCACGAAAATCGGACTACGGTGGATTCTGTGATAGCGCAGATTAAAATACGTCTCTAGCTGCAACCAAAAAGGAATATAAATACACAGCAGGGCTGTTCAGGATGTTGTGGAAATGGTCTTGGATTTGGAGTTGGAATTGCATTTGCAAATTTTATGCTTGCTGTCATGGCAACCGTGTGCATTTTATTGTTGTTAATTTACAAATGCACCGAATATGCAAATGCAAGGACAAACTCGCAACATCCCGAACAACCCTAGTGTATTTATTTAAAATTTTAAAATTTACATAAATATATTCGGAATTCATTAATTAATTAAACAATTATCTACTGAAGTTGAATGGAGTTCCACCTTAGAACATATTAATTTCTATTATTGGGTCGAATGTGCTGTTGTTGCAATAAATTCTACAATACCCAACTTATTTTTGTTTAAATACTTAACATATTTATTATTAATTGTACAGAAATTAATATATTTCATCTTTACTTAATACAACGGCATTTTACACGCGAATACATTCATTACGGCTGCTCAAAACGCATCAATGCAAAGCATTAGTCTCTTTTACTTCTACTCGTTATGTTTTGGAAATAAAAGATACTGATGTTTTGTATCAATACATTTTAGTAAACGGCCACTACATCATCAACGGCTAATGGACTTGTGGAAGTGGAAACAGTAATGTTGAATAGACTTAAGCTTTAGACATTTAGTGCACACAAAGCAACAAAGAAAATATGAGGAAGAAAATTGTTAAAAACTCAAGAGTGAAAATGAATTTGAAAGCAAATTCGCTGACGCATAACACCAAAATAGCCCGTTTAGTCGTTGGCTCATTATTGCTAATATTTCTTTTTTTGCATTCTCCTTCGAGTTACTTTCCGCACATATAATCCATTTAACCAGACAAATCACCATGATCGAACAGCGACTGATCATAAAGCTCAGCGATAACACGTCGTCCACCAAAGAAGCGTCCATGCAAGACATCACGTCCACGCATAGCCTCCACTGAGCTTGAAAATTCTACGAATATTTTAACAATAATCTCTGCTTCCTCATCGTCCTCGTTTTCAGTTTGTTTTTCATTGAAGATTATTACACGACTAACTGTACCGAATTTAGTGCACTCCTCTTGAATTTCCTCTTGCAACGTTTCGTCAACATCCTCTGGTCCGACCATGTTGCGCAGTATAATAACACGCGACTCCTGTGGTCGCATCAGCCGCTGCATGACCAGTTGCCGCGCACTCTGTCCCTTGATCGACATATTCTCCTGCTGCTGCAGCGTCTGCGTCTCGCCTTCTTCCATCAATTTCTTTTGCAATTCCTCCTGCTGTGCCTTCTCGTGCGCCTTCTTCAGCTGCTCCGAGTTAGCCGACTGCAGATTGTGTAATGCTGTTACATTGTTTGCTGCGGCCACTGCGGCTGCGGCATTTGCACTGACAGAGGCGGCAGCTGCAGCCGCTGCGTTTGCGGCGGCATCGGCGCCCATTACCGTATTAATAGCGCCAGCACCAAGATTACCAATCGCAGCCATTGTAGGAGCGCCCATAGTTGGTGTTGCTAGAAGTGCAGCTTGTGTAACAACCACCGGTGCGGCAGCGGCAGTTACATTCGGCAAGCCGGGTGCAACACCTAATAGATTCGGTGCTAAGGCTGCTGGCGCTTGGAAGACACCAGCAGGAAGGAATGCGGCGGCGCCGCCTGTAGTGGCAGGCACTGCAATGCCCGGCGGATGCAATGCGCCAGCGGCAGCGATCGGCAATGTGCCCACCTTAGCTGCGGCAGCTAGTGGTGAGATGCCCAGAGTGGGAGTAGTTGCAGAAAGGCCAAGCACGGCGTTGCTGGCGACTGCGTCAAGTGCTTGTATCTTAGCGGTAGCAGCAGCGGCGGCAACAGCGGCAGCTGTGGGCATTGTAGAGTTGGTAGAGGCGCAAACCAATGCATTCGGAGGAGTAATTGAACGGCCCACTCTAAGGAAGAAATGAATTAGTAATACAAAAATATAATCCATGGACGTTTATAGCTATACGCACCTCAATAACTGTCCGCCTAAATCGAACAAGTTCATGCTAGCGATAGCTTCATCCATGGCCTGCTTGTTGGCGTACTCAATGAAACCATATCCCTTGTGTGTATGCAGTGATGTGCCCTGTGCCAATTTGCAATACAAAATCGGCCCAAATGCCTCGAAAACGCTCTTGATGTCCTCTTCGGATAGATCCGGATGAATGGAGGCAACATAAATGCGATTGAAGCTTTTGGCTTCCTCCTGAATCTCATCAATCACCTGCTGTGCCTGTGGCATGTTGCTAGGGCGACCAACCTTAATGTTACGACCACCCATCAATGCTCCATTCATTTGTTCCAAAGCCAATTGTGCTCCCTCTGGTATTTCGTATTCGACAAATGCGAATCCTTTGTGCTTCTGAGTAATAGGATCCCAAGACATGTTTATTGACTTGATGGGACCAAAAGGTAGAAAAGCGGCGCGTATAGTATCCTCTTTGAGTTCAAATGAGATACTGCCTACATAAACCCTACAGTAAAGGAAAATCGAGTTACTAAAGCTGTAAAAAATCATAGTATTTACACTTTATCTCCAAATAAACTCAGATCTTATCAGCTATTTACGGTAGGCACATATCGTACTTTTCATGCCACTGACGCTCATTAACTCGAGATAGTTGTCACGACATTGAAGCAACCATTTCACCGAAGCTAATGCTTTTACCAGGTTTAACATCAATGTTTTAGTAAATAAGTAGCTATTAAGTGAAAGTTTTTCCTCTAACTTACCTGCACATGAGCGCGAGTGCCTGCTGCCGTTGAACCTGAGTTCGTTGCGATGCCAATTGCTGTAAGGTAATTTGTTTTTATTATTTTATGGCCATTTTCAACTTGTATTACATCTACCTGTTGCTGATGTGCCAAAGTCTGTTTCATTAATACCATTTTAATACTCTGCTCCATGGCATATTTCTTAGCCTTGCTGACCGTATCATGTTGATCTGAGGTAAGTTTTGGCAAAGCGCCACCTAATAGACCCAGCAGTGCAGAACGTGTACCCGGACCGAATTTTACATCGCCCGTTTGTTTCAGATCGTAAATTGGCTGCGAAATGTATGGAATTTTCGGTTCCGAGGACTTGCCTAGAATTAGGAATATTAATTAATGGCGAAGAAATTAATGTAGCCAACAAAACGTTTGTTGGTGAGTAGAGCAACAGCAGTGTGTTGTTCCTGTTGTTGAAAGGATTTTGTGAGGGGTGAAAGCTCGCAGTACACATTTCGTTTTTTTCTTTGTGGACGGAAAATCACAAGAGTCAAATCGATGGTATATATTTTTATACTAGTGACGTATGGGTGTCAATAAGTGAGCGTAACGGTTATGGCGCCTGAAAAACTGGCAGTGAGCGTATAGCTATCTAACTTCTGAAATAAATAATTTCTAACTTTTAAGCTGTCATTAGAACAGCTGGTCTGAGATTTTGATTTCTAAGAAATTAAATTGATTAACACTAATAATGAGGGAACGGATTTTTAGGACCTAAAAACATATAAAAAAGGCAAAATAAAATAAAGAAACAGGCTAGAAAAGGGGAAATAAAATAGCGAAATAATCAGGAAGACACTTCAAATCGCAAAAAGGCAAAATAAAGATTAGATAATGATTGGAGAACTAGCCACATTCTCCAATCTCAAATGTTAGAGAACGACTCGAAGAGCTATCAAGAATCATAGCGATCTCAACAAAAATGGGACATAGATAAGAAGATAATTTAGGTAGGCCTTCTTAAATAAAGCCATTCTGAGGCCTACCCAAGAAGGGCTGAAAAAAGTGCTTCCTTGCCTGCCACTTATAATTTACAAATGAATTTCAATAAACATTTTAAGTTGCAATAACACATATTTGATATCAACCTTAAGCAAATATTTCAAAGATGTATGATTTTTTATAAATTAAAGCAACTTTAAAAGAACTCCTCCAAAAAACCTTCTGAAGTACTTCCTATAAAAGTCCCTCTGGAATTCCTTCCATGGGTAGAGAAAGAAGCCCTTCAATTTGTGCCACTCGATACAAAAGAGAAAGGAGAAAGCAATGTAGAGTGGAAGAGCTCTAGACTCTCAGGAAGGCCTTTCGGAAGGGCTTTCAACTCCTGAAATTATCTACTGGGTCTCGACTCGAGAAAATATTAATTCTCTAATCGAATTCTAATGTTGATCTCTAATGAGATTCGAATGTGAATTTCAAACTGCTGTTTTGCTTTATTAAATAAATCGTTTTGTTTTTAAAATTTGTATTAGATGTATTTGCAATAAAATATTCATTCATTCATTTGGAATATTGCTTATTTACATTTATTTGAATTTGCGTTGTTTCTCTAATTGTTCTCGAATCAAATTCTAATGTAGTTCTCTAACTCCATCGACTCGAGAACGATTAGAGAATTATCCTAGTTATCTAATGTAGAAATCCAAATTTCTCTACACTAGAGACTGTGTTTGCTGGGATTGAACCACAAGATGCAATTCGGAGTTTTCTGGCAGCATTTTCATTCTACTTTCACGAATAAAAGCCTTGAATATACAAAACGTGCGCTCGACGTGAATTGATACAAGTTGCGCCCAAAATAAATATGGAACATTTGAAACTTTCATATTATCAGGAATAAGGGCTTTTTCCATATGCCTTACAATTAAAGGTAGAAAAGGCAGAAATGACAAATATCTTAAAAAAGGCAACATAAATGTGTATGTATGTAATGTAATCGTGGACATTTTTAATCGAATATACTCTATCTCTTTAGCAGAAAAAGGCAATTTCTTAAAAAAGGCAACATCAAATGTGTATATGTATATGGAATCAGGGACAGATAATCGTGGACATTTTTAATCGAATATACTCTATCTCTTTAGCAGAAAATAAGACAATCTCCATAAAATCCGTTCCCTGCTAATAATCATCCGTTATAAATATACGTGGGGTATCTGTATTACAAATCCGATTTTTTCTTCCATTGAATGAAATAAAATTTATTGATAGCTGTACTAAAAAAAATGTGCATTACATATTAGATAAACCTAAAATAAAATGTTCAAATCTGTTTTTCAAAACTTTTGCAATATTCAAACCTTCAACAAGCTACCATTGATAATTTTTAAAAATTATTTGGCGCTCTATATTTTTGTTGGGTGTTTAGCAGTTTCCCTGACTTGCTGGGTGCGTCATGTTGTTTTCACGCAAATAGATTCTTTTGTATCTTCTTTTGTATCCTTTCAACAAAAAATATTTGCTATTTGATATGTAGCGCCGACACAGGCTTCACAGGGTCGTCTTCTTCTTGATTGGCCTTTTTCTTTTCTTGCCGAGTCCATATAGATCTCGCTAGCTGCCGGCAATTAGAAACACCGGATGAGGCGTGATAGATAGATATTACAATTAGGTATGCACCGCGACCTAGTGGGCTATTATGCCCTCTCCTCTTCCCGATACTTCTAAGCCTACATCCCTCAAGAACAGCAACAGCGCCTTCGTGGGTAGAAAGTTAATGTGTTCAAGCTGTGGCCGCGAATGAAGTTAAGTCCCTCTCCACCTTATCTATCTAATGCACCTCTAATAGTATACAAATTCTACGAGATTAAATCTAAAACTAACTTAAAATATTTAAGTCAAGTATCCAAAGTTAACCTACATTTAGCTACCCGTTTCGAAACGACTACCTCTTATGAATGTAAAACATCTGAATATCATACATAGCCTACGTGACGCATTATACTCACTTATTGACGGACCCTCTTTTACTTAAATATTTTTATTTTTGTTGGAATTGAATGGGTAAAAAAGAGAATTCGACGCCTGCAAGAAAGATAAAGACAAAAAGAAAAAACATTAATAAACAACACGTTCTCACTCTTCCTAAGCGAAAATGATCTTGTAAATGCGCGTGCGCGCACACATTCATCTGCTTTACCGAGAGTTATGCGTTCGTTGAGTGCGGTTTTATGTTTCACTTTCGTTGCAACATTCGTAACAATCTATCAGGTTTTGGTTGTTGCTAATATCTTGGCGAAAAAATCATTGTGGATATTTCAAAATAGGCCAACGCCACCATACCGCACGCCAACAGGTGGCATTACTTAATTTGTTTTTCTACTTTTAGCATTTGAGCCAAAATATTTTCTTTTTTTTTTGTATTCTCAAGCAATTCATACTAATGTTGTCAGTTTTTCATTATTATGTTGTTGATCGCAGCAAAGTAGTAGAACTTACAATTATCACTCTAGTGTAGCGGTAGCAGAATTTCATTTGGTTTTTAACGTGCATACTTTTTTATACTTTATGTGGCGCGCATTAATCAACTGTTTAATTTGGCGACTTAATACATTTCGTTCGTATGTTTGTATGTGATTTTTGGTTTATTTTTTGAGAAAAGCTGCAAAATGTAAGAATGAAAGAAAAAAGCACCCAAACATTAAAAAAATTAAAATAAAATACGTAGTCTGTATAAATCCAAAATACATGAACAAACTGAGTTTTTTGTATTAACACTATATGAAACATGTATGTAATAAGAAAGACACGGAAAAGGGATTTACGCACAAATTAACTGGCTACGACGGAGTAGAGCTTAGGCATGGACTTGCGTATATACGATGATGTACGTACATGTAGGAGACAACTGTCATGAAACAAAAAGCTGATGAAATTCAACTTTACAAACAATACATATGTAAGTAGTATGTACATATATGTATATAAAATAATGCACAAGCAATGTAACCAAGTGTGCGCATGCCACAGCCATGGAATCGAACGGACTAACGGACTTATCTTAAAAATAATTAGCAGTGAATACGAAGCTTTTTCAAAGTTTAGGCCTTCGAGAGATATTATACACACTTTCGTAAATATACAATATTTTGTAATCATAACTAATAAACTTGTATTTTATATTTTGCTTTTAATGCAGTACTAACTTTTAGTATGAAACACGCGTAAATCCCCTTTCAGCGATCCATATAGTTAACTAGTACAGAAATATAGATATAGAATTAATGAAGCGACCTTATTTCATCTCAAAAATCTCTTTGCCCTCTCCAACATTTGATGATGTTAGCGCAATTGGCTTTAAACGTTTTTATTGGACACATTTTTACATTGTCACTGTGAGAAGTGGGTGAGTGTGGATTTGAATCACTTCAGGGACACATTTAATAAAAGAGAAAAAATAAAAAAGAAATAAAATCCGCTGAAAAGATAATAAGAGAGCAACAGTGAAAAAAATTAAGGAATTTCGAGATATTTTTGTTTTTTTTTTTCATATACTATATGCATAATGTTTCATAATCAAATTCAGTATTTAGCTGTTAATGGAAGATCGTTCACGGTTCTGCCGATTGAGAATGTTTTAGTTTAAAAAGGCACAAACCAACCAAATGCAAAACTGGAGAAATGTAGAAAATGGGAAAATGTTCATATGCAAGCTTTTACTTGTATTGAAAATAAGGAAAATGCGCTGCAATTAACAGTCTTTTCAAATGATCCGAAGAAACCTTTCATTGCATTCAACAAAAAAAAAAAAAAGAAACTAGCCACTATACTCTCAAAGTATAAGTTTGGAAAGTCTTTGGCCAAGGAAATCATTAAAGTATTCACAGTCAATATTGTGGAACAAAGCACAGTGCTTCTAATTTAATTAATGAAAGCTATCAAATTTAGTTTATACCTTGTTTTATCATTGGCAAGTCTTAAGGTTTTTTATTCAAAAATAAATTTTTTAGTGTTAAGTTCTGGGAGATTACTTCCTGGGTATTGTTTCTCTACTTCCCCTTATGTTAGTAAACAAAACTACGAAATTCTTCAAAAACTAGACTAACTTTTGTCGAAGTGGTGCTGTAAGACCTTTGTGTTTTGATGAAATATGTTTTACAATTTGTTGCAAATATCCCTTTTCATCCTATTAGTTTCATTGTCTATCGGTAGATTTTATACTTTCTTAAATAAAAGATAACGTTTACGGACTTGAATATCCCGTAAGAATGTGTAAATAAAAAGTGCTTAGCTCCAAAGATACATATTTTCTGTGTAGATGCTTTGACGCGTTTAAATTTTGAAGNAATACGGAATCAGAGGCAGAGAAATTTAACTAAAAAAAAAAATACTTACAAAAAAGAAATAAAAAGAAAAGAGAGAAGAAGAGAGAATCAATATGCGTTATTAGTTCCATAACATCAGCAGCATTGCAAAAAACATACATCAAGCGAAGAGCTAGAAACGCGGCGGCGCCACACAAGTCAACACCACCAACCCGCTAGTCTAACTTGATGACCACTTTTGTAAATAATATAATTTAACCGTGTGTATTGAGCCCCTGCAGCGTTTAAGGTTTAATGTGTTCAAATTTTTACCATGAACATTTAATCGGCTGTTCAATTCATTAATAAATTTTTTATTTTCTATGGCCCCATTTCCAGCTGTAGATTTTTGTTTGATCATTTTGGTATGGTATTATTTTACTAAAGTGATACAGCAGACCAATAATTAATTTTTTTAACCAATTTCGTGACACGATATTCTTCATCTTATTTTGCCTTCGCATTATTTCATTTTTAGGTTAACTCGAAATATTTCGAGTAGTTTGTTTTAATGGCTGCTCCCCATTCTTTGCTACTCTAGTGTATTTTCTACACATTTTTTTGTTTGATTTCAACTCTTGCAATGTTTTTCTTTTTGTTTCATTAGGCGTTAGCTTACACGGCGAGCAGAGGAAGTAGTGCAAATCTCACCTGAACCTGACATCATCACATGCGTTAAAGGTCTGCAATTACTTAAGCAGAACAGAAAAGAACAAAACCGATTATTTAGTTAAATTCAGTTGATGGCTGGAAAAGAGGATGTGTAAGTATGTATGCATGTAACTGTGATAAAAATCGATTTTCTTAACAGAAAGCACTTAAATTCAGCCAGTTTAGTTTAGGACGAAGTTGTGACTGCATGTATTTGCATGTTTACATATAACTTTTTTTTTACCTAACAATTTTACTCCATTCAGAAAACGCTGCTAATTAACTAAAAATACTTAATATTCAATACAATAACACAAGCATGTAAATACTGGACAATTTTTGTTACAAAAAACTAGCAAACCGCAACATACAAAACCCTCGTGGCAAACGTACACACATTGGTATTTATTTTAAAATTTTGCTGTTTCCATTCATTTATGGCTTTTAAATTTTACTTTAAAAGATAATATACTAGGTATTTATTTTAAATGATTTACTGCACTTACCCGACTCCGAGCGAGATCTCTTTGATGGCACCATACCGTCATTTAATGGATCATCCGAACGTGATTCTGACGACCGCGATTCTCGTTCATTGGAACCCTAGCAATCGGTAAGAAAAAATATTAGCTATGCAAACATGTAAATTGTATTAAGAGAATAATAATACACTCAAAGGATACACCTAAAAAAAGTTGCAGCAATAAAGTTTCCAAATGTATACATAAAATTGCACGCAATAGTGTGTGTATTCTTAGCAAAATGAAAAACTCAAGGTTAAAGACGCAATTCATTCATTGTTGGACAGGTGAGGGACAGGACGTAGCAAAACCAACACCCGGTAGATTTGCATTGGAGCAAACGCGAATCAACCTCTGCGGCAGCAATTGTTTGCTACGTTCAGGCTCAAGTTTTAGTATACACACTAAAATTTACCCACCGACCATGCAAATATATGAATAGTTTGACCGCTTGAAAACTATCTTAAAAACACATTTCCTAAAAAATTATAACTTTTTGTGCATTATTTTAGATAAAATCTTTAAAATTTCCACTTTTATGCTGCAAATTAATTCGCTAGAAATTCCACGCGATTTTTTTCGGCTGCCATTACGACGCGATCAGCGGCAGAACAATCGCCAACTCCAAACGAGTAAACTTACCATATTTCAACTGAAAATATTAAAATTTCAACTGCGTAACTCCTGCAGTGCTATATTTACTTCAATTTGATGTGGTTTACAGACTTGTTTTTTAAGATATTTGCAATAAAATTCGTGCAAATTTTCACGGATTGCAGAAACGCGTCAGGTCACAGCGAAATTTTCCTCCATAAATAAATTTCCCCGATGACAACGAGTATAAATGAGCTGCCGGATCGAGAAAAATGGAACCATAAAATTAAAAATACTGGGCTTTTAAAAAACCAAGGTTTTTGTGAGGAAAAGTAAAAAATTTAGATCCCAATCTTCGAAAAAAATCAAAGAATTAATTACTGGGCGAAATTTCCATATTCAGGATTAGAAATTACGCCAATACTTCGAAAAAAGAGTTTGCATAAAATAGGTCTTTTATTAAAACACTCGTTATAATTGTGCATACTGACTAGTTAATTTTCCAGTTTTCTAAAGAATAATTAGTTTTAACGTTAAATGTTCACATAATGTATGTAGGTTCAAGCTAAGAGTATCTTTAGACTGGATAAAATATTTGAGTCTGCAGATACAAGCAATATAATTCGACTAAAACAAGTACTAAATTCGTTAACTACAAAAATTTGAGTATTCCGATTTGAATATCAATTGAAAAATAAATCTTTGGGTGTGATAACAGTGTTTTGGCTTCTTCCATGCTACTGCTTTCCAACTATTTACTTCTTGGAAAAGTTTCTGTGCACATCAGATTTTATGTTGTAGACTAGATCTAAAAGATCGTTAATCAATAAATCTTTACGAGTTTCTACTGCAGTTTTTATTTCTTCCATTTTATCCCGCGTATCAGCATCAATTTTCAAAGCAACTCCCTCTCTTGATCCCATGTACTATAGAAAATTTTAAATACAAATTTACTTTCGTTGCTAAGTTAACATTTCCTACAGGGATCTTACCTTAGCTTCATATTCCTTCAGTAAACGTTCACGTTCGGCGCGATATTTCTCGATCTCCTCTACTGCCTCGTCTTTAGCTTGCTTCAAACGCTTTGCTTTACCTAGTCGTGTTGAGAATTATAAATATTTTCTAATTATGACCTCAAATGCTTAATAGGCACATCCGCTGGCTTCGGCAACGAGGCAGCCGTAACATGATTTTGGAATACTTACGTTTCCTAGCTTCCGAAACCTTTTCTGCTGCCTTTTTCTCAGCAGAGAGAAGCTGCTGAATCCCTGTGGATTGGCTTGTCATTTCACTGTGAAATTACCTAGGAATCAGATAAATTTCAAGAAAATGTATNTGTCATTTCACTGTGAAATTACCTAGGAATCAGATAAATTTCAAGAAAATTTATCACACGAAAATTGCCACAATGAAAATAAATATTGGTTAGTTGACAGCTGATTACTGGGCTGAACTGCGGGTTGAGTGTGGCAGCATTGATCGAGAACAGAGTTGCTTTTTATAGAGATCTATTCTCCGATCATTACGAGAATTTAACACACGAATGTTGAAAAAAATAAATATTCTTATATATACATTCGCCTATATCAATTACGTATTTTTATGCATTGCTTTGAATAGTACAATTGAAAATAAAAATTACATTTTATTTGAAACTATAATGCAACCGTGGAGCTTACACTGCGTTTTTGCAGCAGATGTCGCCCCACAAGTTTTTCGTTTCAAGTCGCCCATTTCGGTGGACGACATTTTGTATTGAAAAGCCAACGAGTAAAGAGCAAATAATAAATACGAGCTAGCAGGAAGTTGTGAAAAAAATCAAGTGGAATTAGAAAAGAAGAAAATCAATTTATTTTATTGAATTCATCCGAAAAAAAACTGAACAATGAAGTTCCAATACAAGGAGGATCATCCCTTTGAGAAGAGACGTGCTGAGGGTGACAAAATACGCAGAAAGTACCCAGATCGAGTACCAGTAAGTTTGACGACAGAAAAAGTTGAATTGCGTTTGTATTGCAAGTTTATTATACTCGTTCTCATGCAAGCTTATGAAAAAAATTTAAGTACATTTTATATATATCTCGGTTGTTAATAAGGGGAGCAGTGGTGAGGAAAGGAAATTTTCTTTGTTACGATAAAAGCAAAGTGAGGTACTAATACTTTTCTCGTTTTAATTGCGTCATAGAATATAAATTTTTAAAAAGAAAATGTAGCGAACAAGTAGCTTTCTGTGTTTTCCTTATTTTTGTATAAAAGTATACAAAAAAGTGCACATATTTACCAAAGCTGAATCAGGGTTAATGTGTGTGTTTTGGTTTTTCGCTAGTGTTTTTTTTTCCTGTTTTCATAGGTAGTGTTGCCAATCATTCCAAAGAACATTAACAGTAAAGGACAATAGTGGGGGTTACAGTAGCGGTATTTGTGTGATTCTCACACCCGTTGTAGGGTTCATCAATTGTAGCAGGAATACTACAAAATAGAAAGGGAAACTGTGAACTGGTGATTGAATAAAAATTTTGTCAAGGTCAACATCGAACCACCCAATTTAAGGCAACACATATTAGTAAACCTACAGGTTATTGGCAATAAAAGCATTTCAACATGAAAAAATTAAAATTCTTAATTTGTCAGCTGTTTAATTCGTTCGTTTCGTAAATGCATGCAAAAAAAAGCAGTCAAACACGTATTATTAGAATCACAAACAGGCGCTACACAAAAATATCGTCGCTGATTCTGCAAAACGGTATAGGTCTATTAGTACCATTGTCACTTAAATGGTCTCTTACTTGCACCGGAATGCATCTGCAAATCGTTAC